TCTCGGTCTTGCCCCATGGGCAACTGGTGCCTCCTGAATCTGGGGGGCACCAAATCGCCGATGGGGGTGGGGGGTCCCCAGCAGCCAATTGCCGAGCCAGCGGTGAAACCGGAAATGCACTTCCAGTTTCACAGCTGGTGCTTCCAGGGGGTGCATGGCCGATCTCGGGGGGTGCACGTTCACCCGCGTCACGCATGCAACCCCTACACGTCGCCAGTGCCCCGGTCTGGTTTTCCTTGCTCCCTTGAGGAGGAAGCTTGGTCAGACAAGTTGTCCCGCACCCAGCTTTGGCTTCGTACCCACCTGCCCTGTCCTCTCCCCGTGTGCCCCTGCTCTCGTGTGGGGGCCTGGCAGTGCCTCCTGCCCCGTGCCCACCCGCGGAGGGGAAGTGCTAATTTTAGCTTGGTGTTAATGAAGCTGCTCATTGGAAATGCTATTTGTGGTGAACCGACATCAGCAGCGCGGTTGCAAAGGCTCAGAGCCCCGGAGCATCCGGTGCCGACGTGACGGAGGGCGTATGCTCACCCCGCCGGGGCAAGACGGCCTCTGCTCCGCTCAGGCCATTTTTCCCCTCGCCCCTGAGGCTCAAAGCTTTCCCGGGTGGCAAGGGGGCTGCGGGGCTCGGTGGGCACAGCTTTTGGGTGTCATACCCCCAGCCGGAGCAGCACCGGGGCAGCGGAGCCGTGGCTGAGCCGGGGCCCGGCGAAGGGTCAAGCGCCCGGATCAATGCCGCCTGAGACGCGCTCAATAGGGCTGGCCGTGGCACTGACAAAACACCACTGTTATCTAAAAGCAGCCCTGGCTATTACCGATCAGCTGGGGCCATGTGACTGAGCAGCAGCTGTTAGGCCGAGAGTGCCAGCTTGTTTTCTGCGGGCAACAGTGCCTGTGTGCTGTTGCTTTGTTAGATAAGCTCCCGGGCGCTGGCGGGGAAGAATGGGGCTTCCCTGAGCCCTCGCTCCTGCTTGCTTTTATCGGCACCCCCGGCCCGCGGATGCCGCCCGTCGTCCTGCTCTCTGTAAGCGCTCGACTCTCGCCGGGACGGGGTCTCTTGGGGGACGGGGTTTGCCCCCCGAGACGGTCTCAGCGCCTCCCTTCTCTCCCCGGAGAGCTGAGGCCACGGGGGTGGAAGAGACGGCGCGGGGTCTTTCCCCCTCCTTCCCTGCATTAAAGGCTGAAAGTCCAAGGGCTTGTCACGGCGTTGGGCTGCAAAATGCACGCCGGAGCTGACTCTGCCGCGGGGCCTGGGCTGCTCTGCTCTTGGCTTTTCTCCTTCCCCACCCCTTTCCCTTCCCTTCCTGCATGGCTCCGGGAAAGTTTGCAGCTCGTGATGCAGGCAGGGTCTGAATGAGGTGCGTGGGGCTGGGGATGGTTTGGTCTTTGGGGGGGCTGTGGAAGGGGGTCAAATCAGGGGGGAAGATGGGGAGAGTACGGCTCACGGGTGTGATGTGCCTCAGCACCAACCGAGGGGGGTGTGTGTGTGTGTGTGTGTGCATACAAGCAGCAAAGCAGCATGGGCAGAGCCTGGGATAAGTCTGTCCCCTAGTGATGGAAATTAGTGGCTTTCTTGTCTCCCCTAAATGACTGACGGTGTTTGTTCCCCTGCCAGAGCTTCTGAGCACCAGGACAAACCCCCCTGGGGAGCCAGGCCTGTTCACACTGGGATCCCTACCAAAACTCAGGAGCTACCTCCCAGCAAAGCCAAGCAGCTGGCATCTCGGGGTAGGGCACCAGAGGGCAAGCTGGGAGCCTCCGGTTGGGGTCTGGCAGCTGTGTGCCATTCTCTTTGCCCCCCGTTTCCTTGTGTGTAACATGGGGGAGATGTTTCCATGGCCCTTCTTGCCCCCGTTGCTGGAAAGGGGCTGTGTCGCTGCTGGTGGCAGGTGGGTTGCTCTGTGGCAGCATCTTGCCCCAGCCCTGGTTTGCTGGTGACCTCTGCTCTGCTGACCCGGGCCTGTTCTTATCCTTGTTGCAGGCATGAGCCATGAGCCAAAGTCGCCTTCACTAGGAATGCTCTCGACAGCGACCCGGACCACAGCCACCGTCAGCCCCCTCACCCCTTCCCCTCTCAATGGCTCGCTGGTGCCCAATGGCAGCCCCGCCGCCAACAGCACTTTGTCCGTCCAGTCTGCGCCTTCGTCCAGCTTCGCCGCCGCGCTTCGCAAACTCGCCAAGCAAGCAGAGGAGCCCCGAGGTAAGAGAGGAACCGGGGGGGGTCGGCTGGGGTGCAGGGGGGTGGCTCTGAGGCCAGCATCCAGCTGCCCCGGTTCAGGTCCTGCTGACTGAGCACTCATGCTGGGGCTGTGATAGCTAGTGAGAGCTGGGTCCTGCTAAAACTCAGCACCACGACAGGCCGCCCCAGCGAGCCTCAGGCTCCAGGGTGATTTGGTGTGAGGGTCAGGAAGGGCTCCCCTCTCCACCTCGTACACAGCACGTGCTGGAAGAGGGGAGCGCTGAGGACCCAGGACCGTGCGGTTCTGCTTTTCCCGAGCATCGCTGACCCTGGCATCTCATAGCTCTTTGCAAACCTGGCTCTCAAACCGCTTCTCATGGTGACACAGCTGCCCTTGGTCCTGGAGCCGAGAGGCAGCCACTTCTGGGGTGGAACACCACAGGATCATTCAGCCAGGGCTGAGATGCGACTGCCTCTGGGGTTGCACATGGCAGCTAGTTGGCAGCATGTGGCCTTGCTGCACAGTAAAAGAAAGGAGCCTTTTTCTAACTGGATGGGGGTGGGGGCCCATGCAAAGGACTCTCAGGGTCATTGGTACTGTCCCATAGGAAGGGGTTATGTGCCCATTACCCTGGCATCTGGCCACAGCCCTGTTACTTCAATCAGTGCAAGCTCCTGTTTGGGCAGCAGCAACCACATGCCCCTGGACCTGCTCCCACTGTCATTTAAACCCTGCCCCATGTTAACCCTGCGGGCGCCCTGCCCTGGAGGTCAGGTGCCCTTGGGCTCTGGCCAGCTCACACGGAAAGCATGTGCTGCGGCTGGGACACTGTGTGAGGAACAGCATGTCAGTGCACCGAGCACCGCCTGGCCTGGGCAGGGGCTCCTGGATGGAGGAGGGTGCAGGGCTTGCTCTGGATCACAGTCAGCTTTGATAATATAACCCCTCTCCCTGCCATGGCCAGGGCCTCTGGGAACCATGCTGTGCCTGGCTTTGCAGGCTTCCCTGGGCTGCGATCCCAGGTGCTTCAGGCTGTATCCTGCCTGGGGTCAGCTCAGAGGCTCTTTGCTAGTTTCTTGATACCCCCCGGCAGTGGCAGAAATCCTAGACAGACGCTTTGCTGTGGCCAGGGATAAGGAGAACCAACAGGGTCTTTGCTTTCCACACTGCAAAGGGCATAACCCAAGCAGGGATCTTCTGCATGCGCCTCCCCTGGCCAGGCCTCTGGATCTGTCAGCTGAGAGTGCACAAACCTGCTTTTCCACTGGTAATTCTCCCCCTAGCTGGGGAGGCATGGGGGGAGGGGATAAAGAGGTCAGGGCAGGCAGCTTCGGGGTGTGAGACTGAGAAATAGCCTGAAAAGAGCATCAGTCTCCAGGCAGGTTAGGTTCTTTGGTGGGTAAATCTGATATATTTTATTATCAGTCTCCAGGTGCATTTATCAAGATGATCACCAATTTTTGCATATGGAAATCCCAGAGCTTTAGACACACCAGTGGCTGCACATTCCTCTAGCCCCTTACTTGCTATGTTGGCACCCAGCAGCCCGGGGGTGGGGGGCAGTCAGGGTGAATGCAGGCCAGGGGCTGGTATCCTGGGTACAAAGCATGGTGCCCGCCGCATGCCAGGAGAGGCAGCCTGTTCATGGCTCTGCCAGCAGGTGCCCCAGGCTTTACTGACTCAGACCAGCCTGGAGCTCGGCCCCAGAGGGACAGGAATCCTGCCAGTCCGTGCAGCAGGCTTTAGCCTGTCTTGGGGGGCTGGGCATCCTGCCTGACCTGCCCTTATTCTGTTTGCAGTGGGCAGGTAGCTTTGGACGGCAAGCCAGGGACAGGCTGCATCTCAAGATGCTGGCAAGGCTTGTCCATATTTTAGCAGGCAAAAGCCACCTCCAACAAGTGCAGCATCGGGACCTGGCAGTGTGACCAAGGATCTCCTCCTCCTCCTGGGATCTCCGTGCTCTTTAGGTAGAGAAAGCCATCCTGAGTGCATAGCCAGGAAGGGCCAGGACACACAACACACTAATACCAGAGCAGGCGGGACCAGGCAGACCAGTTCGCTCAGAGCAGGCGTCACCCTTTTCCTCTGCGCTATGGCTACACCCCGCTGCTGGGTTTGCCCTCAGCAAAGACCTGCCCCGGGGTGGAAGCAAACACACGGCGCTTACCCCAGGGGAATTTTACCCCTGGCTTTTCCCTGGAGAGCTCTGCACTCCCTCCCAGCACGATTCACAAGTGCAGAGTGCTGCGTCACGTGCCCTCTCGCTCGCACCACCAATGGGGCAGGTTACGCTTGCATAAATGCCTGGCTTTAGCGTGTCACCTCCCTGGGCTGCTGGGAGCTGCTCTGAGCTGGGAGTAGGATCCCAGCTGGTTTTGGAGGGCGTTGCCAAACCCTCCGTGGGACCGGAGCATGGGAGAGGTGCTCAACAACTGCCTGGCACCCGTGAGCAGGGATGTTGAGTCAGCTGGTGCTGCCAGAGTTAGCTCCTAGGGACCAAGCTGGCAAAGGAGGCAAAGCTGGAGCAGAAGGTGCTTGGCTCCGGGACCCACAGGGAGGCTGACACCGTGGAAAGGGTGGGTCCCATTCTGTCCCAGCTGGCTCCCCGTGGTGCCCAGCGCCCCGCGTCCACCCCCATCCCCCTGCCCCCTTCAAAGCTGCCATCTCCCGCCCCCTCCCTCCATCTCCTGCCTCCCTGGCGGAAAGCTCCCTCTTTATTTTTAGCCCTCGGATGGCGTTCGCTCTCGCCGCCGTTTCACGGGCTAATGTCTTTCCTCGGCATCGTGTCTCGAGGGGGCAGTTTAGAAATTCAATTCAGACGGAGTAATCCAAATGCCGTCTCATTTGCCGCGCCCCGAGAGGAAGCATGGGGAGAAGAGAGTCTGTCCTTCCCCGCAACGGGCTGCTTCGCTTCAGTGCAATGTGATTTTTCCTAAGGCTCTGAAATGTGTTCGTGCACCCGCCGAACTGCCCTGCTAAATAACAGAGTCAGCGCCGGCTGGGCGCCGGCGCCAGGAGACGCACGGCTGAGTATTTGTCTCCGTAATGGGCTATTTAACGGGAGCCCAGCCCGACGGAGCACATGGCCCCAGCAGGAGGATGGAGGGTGCGACTGCAGCAGGCTCCAGGCTTGGAGACGTGGCCCAGGAGAACAAAGGGCACGAAGGACCTGCTGGAGGATGGAGCTGGCGGCCTGGATCATGCCCTCAAGGGGTCTTGGACCCGGGATGCAGGGTGACAGAGGCCTGTCAGCCATCCTAACAACATCTCCCAGTGGGTTGCGAGTGCGACTTGCTCCCAGCTTGGCTGGGAGGAGATGCAGAGTGATGCATCCATGCCTTGTTGCAGGGTAAGGAGGCTTCTTTAGGTGTCACGGCTCCATTTCTCTCTCCCAGTGGGACCCAGGTCTGGCACTTGCGGGGCCGGCATCTCTATTTGTAGCCAGAGCTCCCGTTGGGAGCCAAGCCAGTTGCCTGTGGTTCTCGTAGGGATGGAGTGGCAGCTCCCAGCCTGACCTGCTAATCCTGGATCACTACGGTGCTGATCCTATTAGGGGAGCGCTGCCTCTTCCGAGCCCCCGGAGCCAGGGGGCCGGTTTGCAAAGCCAGCGGGGCAGAGGTGATATCCCTGCAGGTACAGGGGACTCAGCACTGTCAGCTTCCCGGTGCCACTCTCCCAGCCCCTCCTGGGCTGCGCAGCATTTCCCTGCCTGCTGCCTGGTCGGCAGCCCATCTGTCGTATGCGGGGCGGGCTGATTTTCTTCTCTCTTCTCCCGTCACAGTGAGAACACGGCTTGGCGCTTGGGAAGGGCAGGCGGCTCTGGAGGGAGGCAGGGCCGTGCGGGATGGGCCTGGGGGGGTCCAGGCTGCAGCGTCCATCACTATGCCGCACTTCCCAGCGCCTAGGGCCAGCAGGTGAACCGTTGAGCAGAATCAAAGGGTCTGATCAGACCTTGAGACGTCGGGGAGAGATGGATCACCACGGGAGAGGATTAGCCGATAATGAAGGTGGAAATTACCTGTCCTCTCCGAGGAGCGCATTAATCACACACGCAGACCCTTCTTGGCAGAAAGGGAGCTGCTTGCGGGGGTGGCGGCCCCTGCCCCATGCTGGCTCCCGCTCACAGGGAGAGGAGAATCAATTGTGGGATGCGATGGATGCCCCCCCGGACCCCCCTTCCCCGCGCAGCCCCGTCTCCCTGCTTAGCCCTTCAAACGCGGCATTAGTGGATGGTGACATTGATTTCCCGATGCTCGAGTTTTTCTCTCCCGAGCTCCCGCTCCCCTCACGTACGCCGCCGTGGTTCCCACCCCGGCCGCGGGCAAATGCCGGGCCCAGCAAATTGGGCTCCTAATGAAAAGCCACATTTTTTTTCCCCCCCTGTTGATTTAGATTTAACTACTGTATAATTTGATTGCCAAATCCTTCCTCATCGTCGGGTTTCTCCGCCTGCGTGGCTCTCTGAGACGGATCGTCTTCCAGACGTGTGATATCTGAGATTAGGGTGGGGGAGAATGATAGGAAGCAGAGGGGGGGGTGATGGTTGCCGGCTCTCCCTTCACCAGGGGGCCGAGTCGGCTGGTTTTGCAATCGCCGATGCTGGACCCGGCTGCTGTGTACTCTCGGACGTGCCTGGGATCACGTTTGAAAGGCTCAGGCCCTAATGGGTCTTTATGCTCTGCATGAAGCTGTGGCAGGATCCAGCACCGGGGTCCTTTGCTTTCCAACCCCAGATTAGCAAGGCAGCGTTGCCAAAGCCTGGAGGCTGGGAAAGGAGGGCTGTGCATGGGAGTAGGTCCTCGGGCATAGCTGGGTGTGGGCAGGCACGGAGGCTCGCGGTCCATGAACACTCGCTTTGTCTCTGGAGGCCCAAACTGGGTACAAGGCACTGGGTGTGAGCCCAGCCACATAATCCCTAACCACAAGCTGCACAGGGGATTTGGGCTGGAATTTTCTTTCTCCTGGTCAACAGCTCAATACAAAACGCAGGGAACAACAAGGGCTGGGCAGGGGCGTGGTG